ACACTGCCGCTCCGGCCACTTGCATTCTAGTGCAATCCACACTGCCGCTCCGGTCACTTCCATTCTAGTGCAATCCAATGAGGCGTCAGAAGGCAGGAGCAGTGGTTCAATTCATACCATAGGATTTGTAGTTTGGTGATGAATTTGTATAGACAAGATCCAGGGGGCACTGGGAAAAAAGGTACTCGGAAAAGTATCGGCCAGGCCTTGGCTGGTAATAGCGAGCTGGTAGGCAAAGTGAGGAGGAGAACGCGGGGAAAATGGAAGGGGTACCTAAGTTTGCAACAACTAGGGATACCCAAGTTTGCGACGACGAGGGTACCTAACAGGCCTGCAGGCCCCAATAATGTGATAAGCTTGCACGGTTAGCACAAATCTATACAGTTTTGTGAACAGATTCATCGCTGTTGAGCACTGGCAAGGGGTACCTAAGCTTGCAACAACTAGGGATACCCAAGTTTGCAACGACAAGGGTACCTAGCAGGCCTGCAGGCCCCAATAATGTGATAAGCTTGCACGGTTAGCACAAATCTATACAGTTTCGTGAAAAGATTCATCGATGTTGAGCACTGGCATTGTAGTAGTGTGGTCGCGTTTGGGCCTAATCATTAACCTGAAGGACGACTCCCCGACCAAATAGCCCATGGAACCTTCGATTGGCTTCCAGCAAATTGTACGACACCAGCTCTTTGAAAATTGTGCAACATGCCTACATCCCTTTTTTTTTCAGACATGCCTACATCCTTTTTTTTCTTTCTTTCAATATGACAAGGATCCAAAACACGCACCCCTTTTCATGGAGCTGTTGCCAATTTGCTTGTACCTGAAAACCTTTGCTGCAATCAGCAGGTATGCAAGGCTATACACTTGACAGTTGGGGGGGGAAAGCAAAAAAAAGAAAGACAAAAAACAACGAACTTGCTATCGTTTATATCACATAAGCAGGTGTGCAAGGCTGTATGATTGAGAAGGGTACGGACGGGGTGGGAACTGTGCTACAGTTTATAAGATTAGGGGAAGGGGGAAAAAAAAAAAAAAAAAAAAAAACCCTTCTAATACACAGCTGCGTAACTCGTTACAGATACTGGTCAACTCATACAATGGGGTGAAGTGGTCCACAGGGATGTCCAGATGCGTAGCAGCGGGGGCAGGAAAAATAAATTAAACACAATATGCAAATTAATGGACACGAGGATGCAGACAGGCGGCAGAAGGAAAGAAGAGACGGAGCGAGGCAATGAGCCAAAGACAAAATGACAGACGCACGATTGCACGATTACATAATGAACAAGCGAACGAACAGACTGCGCAACAAATACTTCCCACTTTCCAGCCATCAACAATTTGAAAAGCACAGTTACATATAATTCTCAAATTCTCTCTTTGAC